GCGAGCTTGCAGCTTGCTAGTTGTACAGTGTATGCAGTGCTCCTCGCATAATCCTCTCAATGATGCTATGGGGCTCGGGACTGTCGGTCCGCCTATGGCAGGGTGACACGCTTGGTGCTGTCGGCACGGTGTCACTGGATAATGTATAGTATGTCCGCCTCCATCCGGGATACATCTTTGATTGTTTGTTAATTTTGTCCTCTTTTACGGGCCATAGTGCGCTCCCACGAGGAGCCGATGCGAAACGCATTGCCGGCTTCACACTAGGTCGCTCTTGAGCGGTTGTGCACGCAAAGCAAAAGTACTAGTAGTAGTAGTAGTAGTAGTAGTAGTAGTAGTAGTTGGTGCATGCCACTACTGCGATTATTGCTGCTACTAGTACGACTACGACGACGACTACCACTGCTACTGCTACTGCTACTTGTACTGCTACTGCTACTGCTACTGCTACTGCTACTGCTACTGCTACTGCTGCTGCAGCTGCCACTGCCACTGTTGCTACTGCCACCGGTAGTAGTACCAGTAGTAGTAGTAGTAGTAGTAGTAGTAGTAGTACTAGTAGTAGTAGTAGTAGTAGTAGTAGTAGTACTACTACTACTACCACTACTACTATTACTACTACTGCTGCTATCATTGTTATTACTACTACTACCACTGCTACTACCACGACTACTACCACGACTGATTCCTACTACTACGACGACGACGACGACGACTACTGCTACTGCTCCTGCTCCTGCTGCTGCTGCTGCTGCCGCTGCTGCTACTGCTACGACGACGACTGCTACTACGACTACCAGTGCGACTAGTAGTAGTCTTCGTCATTAGTATTAGGTAGTAGTGCTGGTGGTACTGGCAATAGTTAATTGACAGAAGTAGTAGTAGTAGTAGAAGAAGTAGCAAGAGTAGTCGTAGTCGTAGTAGTAGTAGTAGTAGTAGTAGTAGTAGTAGTTGGTGCATGCCACTACTGCGATTATTGCTGCTACTAGTACGACTACGACGACGACTACCACTGCTACTGCTACTGCTACTGCTACTGCTACTGCTACTGCTACACCTACACTGCTACTGCTACTGCTACTGCTACTGCTACAGCTACGGCTACTGCTACTGCTGCTGCTACTGCCACTGCTACTGCTACTGCCGCTACAAAAGCCGAAAGTTGAACACCTTTGTAGAAGGCATGGAATGCTGTTAATATAACGGTTTCCTTCCCAGTATTACTGAGTCTGCATATGTTTGTTTGTGTTTGTGTGTGCGGGTGGTTGGGAGATGGCGGACATGTTCTTGAATTTCCGCACGAACAAAGTCAGTCTAGGGTGCTCGTGCTTTGTACTGTCTTCAGAAAGCAACTGAGGTCGAGCTTCATTTGGATGAGCGGAAAATGCTGAAGTCTATCAACTTGAGTAACTTGAGTCCAACTTCCGACGCTGCAACTGCAAGCGTGTCTTCTTACGGCGGCGTCTCATCCGTTGCGACACTGGATTTGGGTGCAAAGCCGATGACCATCCGCCAGTTTACGTCTTGGGCAACTTTGGAGCGCGCAGATCCGGAGTCGTTGGTGAGCAAGCTCCGAGAGGTGCAGCAGTGCTGTAAACGGCATCGCAAGAGGAGATGCATCCCATGAATAAACATGGCAGTAGCGACAGGTCTATGTTGAGCTGGATCCAGCTCGTGGCCTGCATGCAATGTGCTCCAGCTGCAACTGGCAGAGTCCCCAAAGCCAAAACCGTCTGGATAAGTTCCTGGGAGGTGAGGGGATCAGTGGCCATGGTTGGGTGTCGTAATGTACCAGTCAGATTGGCTAACTCGGCTAACTGGTATCTTCCCGTCGTCCCTGTAGCAGTCAGTGAGCTGCGCTTGCGGCCCTTTCAGCGGAATCCTTGCCTGCCTTGAGCGAGTGTGAGACCGACCAACTTGGTCCCCACTTTGGACTATGTGTCTCGTCGGAATAACGCAGATGCCGGGTGCCAGCTCAGGTATTCGGAGCCTGTCGAGCGCGAAAAGGCTGCCAGTTTGACGTTCAAAACATCACCAGTAGCCACGGCCCATGTCAACTCGTGTCAGAGGCAGAATGTGGCTGCCTTTGCCTCGCAGCCCTAGCCTCGAACAGCTACGACTATTTCGTGGCACCACAGAAGGTGCTTTGGGCAGCACCAGCGTGATAGTTGGCCAGGAAGTTGCAGAATCTTGCCGTGATGCTGGGTGCCCTTTGAGGTGGAATCTCGATTAGAGTCGGGCCAGTGGAACCAACTCAGAGGCATTCTCAGCTGGGCTGCGCCCACGCAGGACCAAGCGAAGTCAGCTCGAGATGTGTTGGTTGACAGAGGTCCAGCGTGGAAAGCACCCTACCCAACTCATCCTGCACAAGCGGTTGTGAGGAGATGCTGCAAGCCGCCTTCTTTTTGCTTTCCGTGCGAAGCATCGGCAAATACAGGAGTGCAGCCTTTGCACCAGAGATCGACATGCGAATTGCCAGGCGATTTCCTGAGTTCTGGCAGGACTGTAACGCGGCAGCTTCCTGAGGCGCATCAACGTCCGGAAGCTGCTTTGTCGCTTGGTTCGGTAATTTGGTGCAGGGATCGTGGAAGTACTTGATTCTGCTCTTCATGGCATGCCCGGGTTCTTGTTCATTGGCTATGGGACATCTACGAATTTGTAGTTGCACTGAAACAGCGTCGCCAAGTCCAGGCTTTACATCTTAGACCACTTCCCGAACGTGGTTCCCACGGTGCACAGCATCTTGTCCGCACAGCTTCTCACCCTTTCATTTCGATGTCCGATGTCCGATAGTCACACTGTCTGAGACTGCTACGCGGCGTTGTGTGCGAGATCGCCAGACTGAGGCTTGAGTGAGACGGCGAAAACCTTGGTGTGGCTTGGCTGAAGCTTACACAGGGGCACCTGCCCGCCATGGGTTTAGGGTTTAGGGTTTAGAGGGGGTCCTGAGTCCTGAGAGCCCAGTGGGAGATTTGTCATTTGTTGAAACCTGAGGACCAATGTCCTGCAGCTTCAACAGGATTTCATCTTGCCCCAAATGCTACAGGGTGAGAACGTACCTGCGAACCTGGCCCAGCTGCAGTGCTTCGTCCAGGATAAAGGCGAGGAAACGCTGAAATTTTACGTTGTCTTCCTGCTGGGCTTCTTGAGCCGCTTGGAAGCACACGAGAATCGGGTTCAGGACTGTGTCCGCATTCGTGCGCATGCCTCCGATCTTCATGTCAGGTGCTCTGCAAGGTGGCACGGGGTCGAGCTTCATGACGGCGGCCAATGCGAAGAATATCATCCTGGGCCTTTCCACAGCTGCTAGGCAAGACTTTGTTTGCAGACCGGTACTGCTGTGGCAGATGGTCTCATCTCGCAGCTGGCAAGAAAGCCGCAACAAGGTTCAGCAGCTTCTCGCCACGGATCCACGCCTCCTTTACTGGCCCTTTGCATGCAGCGAGTTTTCCGTGGTCGAAAGCACGTTGTACACACATTCTCTTACAACCATGCTTGCATGCCCAACTTGCTCCACCGTCAGACCTGAAAGATTTTGAACGCAGTCAGTTTCTGCCTGCCCCAGGATGTACATCTACCAGAGAGGAATGCAGCTTCGTCAGCCTGCGAGCCACTTTTTATGAAAGATATCGGCTACTTCCAGCCGAATCGGGGATGCATAAAGTATAATTAGCAGACGCTCCCCCGCTTCCACTGATTTCAGGTTCTTCTGAGGATCTGGCTGTTCTGCGGCTGGCCTGCCTTTGCCGAGTCAGCGATAGACGTTCGTTTGAGGAGTTGTCGAGAGACTGGGCCGAGTGGCTTGACTTTCCATCAGAACGCTTCGGGGCATCAAGAAGGGCAGGCGAATAAAGCAGTTCTTGATGCAGGCAGCTATGTGCACAGCCGCCATAATTCAACATGATGCAACCAATGCAACATCACGCAATCGGCCCAGGCTTAGTGCTCATGACCAAGATGTCCTGACGCAACATTTTCTGGCAAGCGGTATCCAGAGCGCGGCCATTGTTTTCGAGTCTTCTGGCTGAGCCTAAATCGCTGCATCATACTCATCACGAAACGTGTAACTTGAAACACGCTCAGTCGGAAGTGCTGTTTGAGGTTTCTTCCACTGTGCCTGGAGCGCGCAAAGAGGAATCGGCATGTATCGGCACCTTGGCCGGACAGAAGGTTTAGGTGCATGAAGGAGCTACATTACAGTTTTTTCTTCGAGGTGCCATGTCTTCTGGAAGTGCTTGTCGTCTTGGTGGAAGCGGTCTTCGCTGTTCGGGCAAACGAGCCAACGGCAGGAGAGAACTACGCAAGTGTGCGCCTGCAACGTTTCGCAGTAGCCAATGCTCTTGCCGAAGGAGAAATCATCACTGTTGACTTGTCCAACTTGGCCGCTTTCATACTCATGGTGCTGCTTGACTTGAACTGGCAGCGGCTCGAGGGAGCTAGCAATTAGAACGTTTGCAATACTCGCCGCATCATGCCTGGAACAGTTATTCGACATTAGAGTGTGTGTGATTCTGTTTCTGGGACAAGCGAAGATTATTTGGCATTGAGGCAGAATCGGTTCGTCTTCCAGACCTGTCTCTCTCGGTCCAAGCTGATTGCGCAGCACACATCCCAGAAGCACGACCAGGGCAAGCGAGCAACTTGCCGGAAGAACAGATAGGCTGCCTACCTCACTTGGAGGTTCATGGGCAGTTGTAAATATGGTTATAAGTAGGGTACCTAGAATTATAACCCATATTGGGGGACTTATCCATACTTAGAACTACCCATGAACCTCCAAGTAGTGCATCCATCATGCGGTAGCATGCGGTGAGATCAGCACATCCCCGGCAAACTTTAATCTGGCGATGCTAGGACGTTTGGTTCCGACTGGACCTGACTGAGGCCTGGATCTGGGAGTGACAGCCGAAAGGCTACGAAGCATGCGTGAACCATGCCCTGTCCGCACAGGACAACTGGAATCGGGTAAACGAGAGACAGCACGACGTGGCCCTGCTTGCCAGTACAGTGCCTGATACGCACTGAAACCAAGAAACTGGAGCTGGGGTTTGCAATGTTCTGTCCGGGAAGCTGAAACTGCGAGGCGCTTCTTCCGTAAGGTCCGTCTAGGCTGGCCACAAGCTGAGGTGCGGGAAATACTGCATCGACAGCAGAGCACGAAGCAGAAGGCTTTTGATACCGTTAGTGTATAGACAGAGCCATAGATTGTACAGATCACCTCTTTGTGCAGGAGGTACCCGATGGATGTTGCAAGAACCATTTGTTCTGGCATATGGCTGCCCAAAGTTGCAGCCAAGCAGACACGTGCAGACCAGGCCATGGAAGCGTTTGGCAGCGCCACGTTTCAGTGGCCAGCTCCCGATGGGAAAGCTGCGGGTGGCTTCGCGAAAAACCGCGAGGTGACGCGGCAGACTTCGTCTCACCTCGTATGGCTCGTAGCCACCAGAAAGACGAGAAAAGTGTTCAGGACAACAATGCGCACTTTTTTCAGAAGTGAAGCTCGATCAGTGCTTCAGAGCCTTCACTTTGCATATGCGTCGCAGTTGCACAGCCCTCGGCATTCTGGGAGTGCATCGCTTCACACTTCGCAGATCTGCACACTATACATGTAGCTTGATGCACCTGGCTTTGGTGCACCACCTCGCAGGTATCCAAACAACTTGTGCGACTGGACGTTGGACTTCGGCCCAGCTCCCAGTATCAAACTGTTCGCGGGTGTTCGAAGTGCAATGCTGTGTGATGTATCGCTCTTCCAGGCTACCGGCGAGAGCTTGCGTCAAGCCGAGCATTCCATGGGCTAGACGAGCTGAAGACAGCGCAAGACACGCCATTCTACTCTACATGAGCTCAGTTGCAGGCCGTGGTATTGTTGGTCAGTGAATTAACCGAATGACAGTTGTGGAATGTGTTGCGCGGCCAGCAACCTCTGATATGCAAAGCAGACATGTCATGTCAAACTCTGTTTGTATCGAGCTGTTGCAGTGCTTGGCTGCCGCTTGTGTGCTTGTTGAAGCCCTGAGCGTTATTCCACTTTAGCATGTCGGTAGCTTGATACCCAATAAAGACCATCGCAGCTCGCCCGATGCGACACTCGGTTGCTAGCTAAGTGGGCGACATGGTTCATGATGCAACCCTTAGCCTTGCTTATGATCCCTGAACTTAATTCTTGGTAGCTTCATTCGCCTAAAGTCAGCAACTACGAATTTGAGAGTTCAACTGTAGACTGTAGACGCAACGTGCGAAAACGAAAGCAGATGGCTGCCGAGCCTGTTCCGACTTTGGAGTTCCAGGCCGAGCTTTGTGTGCCATGTGGTAACCGCTTGGGCGAGTGCCCGCTCTGGGATGACCTCTGTGCCCGGGAGGAAGAAGCAGAGCTTGTTTGAAAGTTCCTCTTATGCAGTATGCATTCCTAGTTAACATCGCCGTCTTTGAGGCCAAAAGCTGTGCTGGATTGATATTCAAGGCAAGAGCTTCTGGCAGCATGACCCGCTCGGGCCTTTGGGAAATGCAAAAGGCTTCGACCTGCCGTCTCGGCCCGGGTCCTTTTGCCTCACCATGGTCCCTGGCGCCTACATCATCGCTTTGGAGACCGGCATCTCTTTCTTCGACTCCACCAAAGAGCAGCTGATACCCATCACGGAGGATTCTTCTATATTCTTCTAATTCTAGTGATTCTATTGGTGCAATTCCGTGCCAGTGCCACAGGGCCGTGGGCCGTTGAAGTTGTCAGGACCTGGAGCCCGGGCTTCGGACGCGCCTGAACGATGGCCGGGTGGACTGCCAAGGGCGCTTTGTTGTGAGTGGTTGCGTGGACAAGGGCGACGAACCCATCTCCGCGGTCTACCGTGCGAAGCTCAGCAGCTCTGGCTGTGAAGACAGCAAGCCTCGCTCCTCATCGTGGGCATGGAGGCCTGAACACGGATTTGACCGTCGAAAAGCTTCTTGCTGATGCCGCTTGGTCGCTAGGAGGACGCCAGCCGTTGGGATAAGTTGATATGGAACGACAGATGTGACTTTGTTCAAGAGGTCCGCTGCGGCAACTCGATTTGTAGCTCGGCAGCACTAAATAAGCTGAGCTTTAATTACTGCTGCGTGCAGCGGATTGGAGGCAGAGAAGTACTTTGGAGTTCTGCCCGCCCCTGGCATCTGGAAGATCCGCCGTGAACCGCTATACCTACTATAACCTAGACGCTCCAGGGAGCGGTTCTCTCGCTACAGACTGCGTTGTGCAGATTCAGGAAGCAGATATGGAGTCTTTAAATCGACGCCTGTCAAGGCTTCTCCGAGGACAGCATGTTTTTTGCGGATCCTGCTTTTCGTGGCACTGACCCTCAGACCGGAACGGCGACCTGGCCAAACAGCCTCCACAAGCTCTTTCCACAGCTTCTGACATTGCTTGCCACAGTGTCTGCACGAGGCCAACACCATCTGGCGATTTTCCGAGTACGCGTCGACAGGATGCCTGGGCGGGGCTTCCCAAGCTGGCGCAGAGTCTTAGTACCCAAACTCGTGGTTGTAATGTGAAGCTGCAGGAATGGCCGGACCAAGTCAGGTGGGTAGTTGTCAAAATCATGGTCCCTTTTGGGGTACCCTAAAATATAGGTGCCGTATTCTAATAAGGACCCAAAAAGGGGACCATAATTTTGACAACCAGCCAGGTGTTCGTCAATGCAGCTGGTCGACCTGATGGTTCTGTCATTGATGCGGAGGGCTGCCTTTGGAACGCGGAGTTCGGCGGAGGCAGAATCTTGAAGCATCGCTGGGTAATGTAGAACCTGGTGAGTACGCCTCCTTCTCGTAACCGTCCCAATATTAGGGGCTCTCCTAGAGCAGGATTTTACTTAGCAAGGCATAGCTTCAACCTGTATCTTGGTGTCCATGCTATCTTTGTCGCACAAGGGCAAACTTGCCGGCTTGTCAGACAGCTGCTCCACCACGTTTGTCCGGACAAGGAGTGGTGCGGTACTTGCCTGACGGTTCACAGAGCATGGTCGTCAAATGCCCTGTCCGCTACACCACCTGCGCGACCTTCGGCGGGTCTGACCTGCAGACGATGTACATTACAGATGCCTCGGTTCCCGGATTGCAGCTTATCGCTGAGCTGCATTGGGCCACATGGGCGGTGAGAGAACCCGAAGAGCCGAGGCTTTCGTCAACCAGCGAGCTTCGCCGGCAAGAAGATGAGAAGAAACCCTGACACAGAGATGATAAGCCATCGTACCTTCAGACAGCGGCTGAAGCTCGTTTGTGCCTCTTTCAATATGTTCATCGTGTCATTGAGCTTGCAGGTATCACTCTCCCGTGCGAGATCGATTCATTCTGTTTGCGATGTGTTTTGCAAAGGGGTCGCAGCCTCCAGGAGGGTGTACTACAGGGGATTCTTAGCTTGGGCCATGGGTGTATACTGTACAGTACCATTCACTCACCATAGTTTCATTATTCGGAAGCTGCTGCCAAGCCCAGGAGTTTCGAAAAAGCGCAGAGAGGAGTTGCCAGAAGGAGCAAGACTGCATGCAGGGCTCTCTCTGAGTTAAATTATACTAGAGTAAAGTATAGTACACTATATGATTGATGAGCTCTCTCGGTATCCTGACCCTGGCACTCAGCTGATCCCTTGCGCGCCATCGATGCGAGGATACGCCGGTGGCATCTTCAGCGTCCGCCTGCCGACCCGAGGTTTGGCAGCTTTCTGGCGGCATCGGATGCAATAGAAGCCTAAATAATCACCAATGTTGCTGTTAGGGTTCCTTATTATGGATATATTATAGCATAGAAGCATCGGGCATTTGGAGGGGATGTGTGTGAAGATGAGGGACGACCGTGGCACAAGCGCTTGTCGTGTGGAGTCTGAGGAGCGCCGGTTTGCGGGAAGCATTCCGCGAGCCGAAAAGAAGTGTGCATCCATGCATGAGATTGCATCGCGACTCCTCAGAGATACTGCCTCAATAAGTTTTTTGCTTCTCGAGCTCAGGCACAACTTCAGCGGCAGCTCGTGGACAGTGCCTGGAAGGCATTGAGGTGGGCAGCCTATGTGCTCAGCACGACGGACAGGAGCTCCGCTCTTCGCTTGAGGGACTTGAGATCGATTTGCGACTGCAGTTTCTGGAGGGGATGATTTCCAAACAGCTATCGAGGTTTTGCAAGTCGTCGTTGCCGAATTAGCATCACCCGTCTTTCTTGCGCAGTGATCAACGTTTGACATTCCAAGGCCCGGCGGTGTGTCCTTGCCTTGAAGGGTGGAGACAGGGAGCTGCAGGGATTTGACCGCAACGCGGCCCGTCAGTGCTCAGGCTCATCTACTCGACATGTACCTTGAATAGCATGGAGAACGAGGAGGCGGGTTTTGCGCAAGGAATCTTTTCTGTCAGGCGATTTGTTCAAGGGCGACTGTTGGCGGTCAGGTATGCGACTACTTGCTGAGCAGGGGTGCGCAGTTGCGGCCCAAGCCAGACATGGCAGAATGGGATCCTCGCATCCCCTACCTGACGGGCTGATCAGGCCCCTGCGCATGGCTGACCTTACAGGAATTGACGGTCCAGGTGCAGGCGCCATCCAAAACAGACATGCGGAAGCAACCGAACTCTTGAGCGACTTGCTCAGGTATTCGACAGGATCAAGAAGAACATTTGCTCCGAGCCGTAGCCTCAATTTCAGGACTACATTTGCTGGCCCTGCGATGTCATGGAAGTGTGTGCAGAATTCTTGCGACTGTTCTCCATCTTGCAGTGTCTTTACATGTCTTGACTCCGAGCTATCGCCTGGGTTGGAGTGGTTGCGTTGGTCGCGGTTGTGTTTTTGATGCAGCTGTTGCAGTCGCTACGGCTGCTGCTTCTGCTGCTGCTGCTNNGGGGGGGGGGGGCGGGGCCTACACAGCTACATTATCGGAGCTTTAGCCGAGGCTGTAGATGCACATGCCGAAAAGCGACAACCTTTGCTGCGACACGTCAAAACGAATCTGCAAGTAACACATACTGGTATAGTGACATGGCAGCAGCAGGAGCCATTCGATGACGTGGGCCATGGCGGGGGGGCAGGGCATGCGATGCTTTCCTTCTTTTGCGCAATATCTTCTGCCTTTGTGCTTTGTTTCTAGACAGTATCCGTGCATTGCTGCTCCACTGCAATCGACACTTGCATAATCTCTCGCTATTTCCATGACCGATGATCTGTGGCCTTTCGAATCACAAGCCCGGCAGGGCGTGGCTTGTTCTGTTTTCAAAGCCATGACGAGGCGAGGCTGCAGACCGACGGCTGCCGAGCAATCATAGCCCTTCGCCGGATATCGCCTGTGCAGCCCGATGGGCTTGCCGGACGAGTCTCCCTTGAAGGTCGTGACTTTCTTTACAGAGGGACCTCCCCACGACAACTGCTTGCCGTTGACTGAGACCGTGGCGGAGCTGCGAAGCTGTCTTGCAGAGTCCGGAGTGCAGTTAGTGGCTTACAGCCCGCGTACATTGCTGGAAGACGAATACTACAGAAACCACTGCCAAGCACAGTTCGGAAAGAGCAAGCTCGAAGAGCCGGGGATGGAGCTCTTGCCTTATGCAGCGAAGCTCGGCTACTATGCCTGGAAGCCGTTGGTGATCTGTAAAGTGTTGTCACAGCTCCAGCCAGGCGACATGTTACTGTTCATGGATGCAAACTTGAAAAAGTACAAAGACTATAAGCACGGCCTGGGTGACTTGCGATCGACCTGCACTCATTTGCTGCAACGGGCCGACATTTTTGTGCCACTAGAGGATGCTGTTTGGAAGCGAATTCGAAATCATTGCAAAGCCTTAACTCTGGATTTGATGGAGGCGAACACCTTCGACATCGCGTATGCGCCCTGCGTCTGCGTAAATCGCATTCTGCTGAGGAAGTCTGCGCTTACAGATGCAATCATGGCCGAATGGTTGCAATGGTGTGCAAACAAGATGGTGATAAGCCCCGTTCCAAATCCATATACCCATCCGCTTTGCATGTTTCACACACCCGAACAGGCAATCCTCGCCGTTCTTTTGCGAAAGCGTGTCCTTGCTGGCGAGTTGCCCCAAGGATGGCCATTCTACTCTTATGCATACGGGCATCGAATCTTCCACCTCGGATCATTAGAAGACTGGCCCATATCTCTCTGGGCATCGCTAGGCAGCAGACTCCGAGCGATATTCTTCTTCCTTCGGCATGCTGCCTTTTCCTATATATACCCAGTTACGGACTCCTTCTGGAGCCAATTCCCCAGGGCGACTGGTGGCTATTTGTTGAAGTTTGCGTGGCGAGGGTTCTTGATGTGCATGATACCTTTGCCAGAGAACTGTTAAGTCTGCCGAATTCGAGCGGGCAACCTGCACCTACAGCTTGCTAGCTGCTAGATGGCGCGAAGAGTGGCCAGAAATGATGTGACGTCTGTTCAGCTCAAAGCTTTCCTGGCTTTTGAAGCCGTTTTACAGCTGGCCATGGCTTTTGCCCAGGTTTGGCCACAAACATTTGACACGGAGGGCTTCTTCCTTGCAGCGTTTCTGAAGGAGGTCTGCAGTGAGAATCGCTTTGTGTCATGGTTATGACAGCCATGCAGACCACCTCTCGTTGCAGTGCAGTGCAAGCGCACAGGAGTCACAAGACCTTCCCCTTTGGGCAAGCACACCCAGGAAAGGTGTCTTGATGCTGTATCGATTTGAGCCGGATCACTGAGAGTCTTTCTGCAGGCCTGCAGGTGTCCTGACGTGGACACCGATCCGTGCCATCACCCTGACGCAGCTCTTCAAGTCCTGCGAGGATCAAGAGAAGACTAGTGACTAGTGTGCCAAGCAAGCTCAGTTGTTGCAGGATGCCTTGGGCTTTCGCCCACCTCTCATTTCCACCTGCTCGAATCGCTTGGTGCTGCAGGCGCAGCTGGACTCGTAAACTTGCAGCCTGGTGCCTCTAATCCAAAACTCGACGCTGAGAGATGCTGAGAGGAGGAGCAGAAACGAATCCTCCTCCTGCCTCAGGAGGGTCGATAGCTCATGAAGACACTTGGAGGTTCATGGGGAGTTATAAGTAGGGTAATATAGTCCCCTAATTTGGGTTATAATTACACTTACCCTACTTATAAGCCTACTTATAACTACCCATGAAGCCTACATCCTAAACCCTAAACCCTAAACCCTATAGGTTCCTTAAAGGAACCTTACTTATAACTACCCATGAACCTCCAAGCAGGCCATGGTCTTCCAAGCCTTACGTCGCCTTTGAGCTCTGAGGCCCAAGCCCTGTGCCCGAAGCGCTGCGTGGCCTCGCAAAGGCAGCCCAGATGTTGAATGATTCGGGCTATAATATACTACAACATAACAATAAGAATACAATAAACATGATATACTATAGTATGTTATAAGATACTATACTATGCTATAATATGCTACAGTATGCTCTACTATGCACTGTAGGACTAACCTACAGCGGAG